TCTTGCCATTGGCGAAAGCATGGAACACCTTGGAATTCATATCCCCATGTTCTAGCCATTTGGCATTTGCTTTTTGCTTCCAATAGACAACTTCTTTGTGGCTAGCAAGGAGCAACCTGGCGTTAGCTTCCTGGGCTGTTACACGGTTGGCCTCCGTTGGGTTATCTTCATATAGCTGCTGGGTGGTAGTGGCATAAATTTCAGCATTCTTGAGGTTATCGAAAATATGACCAAACTCATCCTTGTTCCAAGCCTTGAGACAGGATTTGAGACCCTTGAGTTTGGCTACAAGTCCATGCATACCGCCAACAGTAGGCATTTTGGTCCAGCATTCCTTGACAATTGAAATGAAATTTGTGTGGTGGATCCAAGGGTTTAAAAATCTGAAAGCTGATGGGCCTTTGTCACTGTTGACTGAGCAAGAAAGAAGGAGGGCTTTGTGGTCACTGCATGCTCTAGGGAGATGTTGTACCTCAAATGCACTAAAGGTGGATTGGAAGGAAAGGTTAACCAGAATACGATCAAGCCTACGCCAAAGTTTCCCAGAGCTTCTAATGCCACTCCAAGTAAAAAGACCTCCAGAGGGTTCCGGGCAGAGTAGATTGCAGGATTCAATGCAAGAATTAAATTCATCCATGCCTTGAGTGTTTGGGAAAATCTGACCTTTGCTTTCCTTAAGGGAGGAGATCACATTAAAATCCCCCCCGACCACCCAACACGAGGAAAGGCTGCTTTTGTGTTGAAGGTTTCTCCATAAATTCCGGCGTTTCACCACCGTATGAGAACCATAAATACAAGAGATAAGAATGGTGGAGGACGGGGAATGAGGGAGGGAGAAAAGGCAGTGAGAAACCTGATCTTCGTCCTCAACACTAATGAAGAGTAGTTGGTTGGGGTCCCAAAACATCCATCTATTATTGCTGTTAGACGATAAATGGTTGGGAAATCCCAACTTGAGGCTGTAGGCAGGGAGTTGTGAAGCAGAGACCTTAGGTTCAATGATGCAGAGAAAAGAAGGGTTGTGAATCCTCTTAAGGGAACAAAGTCTGTCAAGGGAGAGGCCACCCCGCAGACGTTCCAAAAAATAAACTTCATTGTGAAACCTGCCAAGAGACTTTCTTACTGGATTTGCTTCGGGTCTCCATGTTGTGAGTTTGACGGGGCAAAGAAGACCGTCTGAATTTCTGGAAAGGTAGTGAAGTGGGGCTGCAGTGAGAGGTGCCCATAGCGAGAGGCCTAATCTCAGAGGTATCAAAAGGCCTATCTTCTGTATGACCATCAGAGTGACAGTAGAGGGGGGTAAGATCAGGTTCCTTCTCCTGGACATCTTCATCGAAATGAAGTAAAGGATTAAAGTAGGATTTAGAGACCCAAAAGTCATCCTTACTAGTGGAAGCAAGGTTGAATGGTTTTAGGGAAGGAGAGATGAACGGTATANTGCACAGAATCAACGTGACTGATAGCGAAGGAGTGAACCCGGCAAATTCTCTTCCATGGCGTGGAATCAGTGAGCTTCTCTTTGATTGTGCCCTTGCGCATGTAGATGGCTCGCATGGTGTTAGCCCAGACACCTGTATCATGATTCACCCGCCACCAAAGCTTGATCGATTGGTTCTGTTGAAGTGTTTGAAGATCCTTAATATCAAGCCCACCAGCGCTTGAGGGTTGACAAAGATGTTTCCAGCTCTTCCAGTGGTGTAGTTGGTTGCCGTGCCTTCTTCCCCAAAAGAAATTGGCCATCCTAGTATGAAGAAGATTGATGACTGCCACCGGGAGGGAGTGCACAGCTAGAATATGTAGTGGGATGGACGAGAGAACATGCTTGATGAGAATCAGGCGTCCCATTTGGTTCAGTGTTTTTCTATACCACGAGTGAGTATGCTTGTCAAAGTGATCCATCAGGCTGCCACAGTGGTGTTTTTTAAGTTTCCCTTTGCAGATGGTAGCTCCAAGGTAGGTGAAGGGTAAGGATCCTAAATGCATGCCAAGGATTTTCTCCATGTTCTGCAGGTGGGTACTGTTTGTGGTTTCTTTGACGTAGAACTTGCTCTTGGCTGAATTAATGACCTGATCAGAATCTGAAGAGTATTCATCCAGCAGCTTCCTGAGTTTGAGTAGATTGATGGAGTCACCTTTAGTAAAGATCATTATGTCATCAGCATAGGTGAGGTGCCCTATAAACTTCACACTTCCCATGTTGTAAAGCTGGATATGGGATTCATCCATGCTTCTGTTAAGTAGCCGAGACAAACCTTCACTTGCAATTATGAAAAGAAGAGGCGAAAGAGGGTCGCCTTGCTTAACACCCCTAGTCATGGGAAAGTAGCCCGCAAGTTGCCCGTTAATGAGGACTGAGAGCATACTGCCTTTAGGTTAGCCATGAGAAGGCTAGTAGCTTTGTTGCTAAAACCGAACCGAAGAAGAACCGCCTCCAGGTAGTCCCACCGTAGGGTGTCAAACGCCTTGGCCATGTCAATTTTAACGATGACGTTTCCTCCAAACGTTTTCCTGTTCAAGTTGTGCAAAGCTTCCATAGCAAGGAGAATGTGGTCAGACATGCACTTCCCTTTTTGAAACGCCGCTTGATTGTTGGAGATAATCTTGGGGAGGATGATTTTTAACCTGCAAGCTAAAATCTTTGTATTAACTTTGCTCATAAAAGTACTCAAAGAAACGGGCCTGTAGTCGTCGAAGCTTTTAGGGCAATCCTTCTTAGGGATTAAAGTAATAAGGGTGCTTCCAAAAGCATGGGGGATGGCGAACCCTAAGAAGAACTCTTGGGAGGCTTTAAGCATATCTTCCTTGATGATATCCCAAGTGGTTCAAAAGAAAACCCCGTTGTAGCCGTCAGGTCCTGAGGCACTGTTGCTGTCCAGATTCCAAATAGCATTTTTGACCTCCTCCAAGGTGGGGAGGGCAGTAAGCATGGTGTTGTCCTCGTCTGAAAGGAGGGAAGGTAAATGGG